GTGGCTGCGACCGATCGCGACGGCGCCGTGCTGCCCGCGAGCCGCGGTGGCGTCCTCCCGCGCGCTCGTGGCCGCCAGGCCCTCGCCTCCCTGGCTTTCGCCCTCGCCGCTTTGCAGCGGGGGCCCGCTGGCCGGTGCTCGCAACGGCCCGCCTCGCCGCCTCTGGGCCCGCCGCCGGCGGGCGGGGGCGGGGCGGGGCTGCCCCCTCTACGGACCTTCTCGGCCTGCTCGGTCTGGGCCTGGGTCCGCAGCTGCTCCGCGCGCCCGTGGACCTTCGCGGGAAGTGGCCGGGCCTCGTCCTTGAGACCGCCGCGCCAGACGATTTGCGTCGCGACGCTGTAACCCCGCGGCGTCGCCCGGCCAGCGGCGCCCGCCGCCCCGGCGGGCCTGGGCCCTGCCGCTCCGGCGGGGGCCGGCGGCCCTCCGGGGGGCGGGGCTTCCTGCCCAGCTTTCCGAGGGTTGCGGGGCTGGCTGGGTGAATTGAGCTGGCGGTGCAGTGGCCGCTTCATCTCCGCCTCCCAGCGCGGCGACCGCCCGCTGGCAATGCCCCTCGGGGCGCCCCAGGTCGAACGTCCGCGGCAGCCTGAGCAGGAGAGGAGGGCGAAGTTGACATCGGCGGCCCACGCATCTCGTCGACCCAAGACGAGCGGCGCTCCTCCCGCAAGTCCTTGGCCCCAGCGTCCAGGCATACTCCGCCGGGTGCTTCTCATGGGCCGTGCCCAAGAAACTCGGGGCCCATCGACGAAGCTGCCTGGGCTCTGCGGACATACTCGAAAATCTGGATCTCGCAGGGCCCCCACTTGAACCAAGTCGCCATGTGGGTCACCGGCCGCTGGCGCGGCTCGAGCGTGTAATTAGCAGACTGACAGGCAGCGGGCGTCGATGTCTTCGCCCCAAGCATGGTGTCGCAGTCGGCCGTCGATAGGTCGGGCGGGCCCGCCGCCCCATGCGCCGTGGCGGCGCGCCCCTGGGTCGCCCGGTCGATCGCCGAACTGGGCCGCAGGATGCTCCTGGGGGTGCTCTTGCTGTGCGCGCGCAGCGGTCGACCAAGTCCTTCGCGGTGATCCCCTCGCGGACCTCGATCTCCAGCGCGTTGCAGCCCCTCGCGAGGTAGGGTGTCCAGCTCGACGTCGTGGCCGATGTCGCCCCCTGCCCCTGCGTGGCTGCCGCAAGCCCTCCAGGCAGTGCAGCGTGACCCGGGGCGTCGCTGGCGGATCGCGCTGCCCGAGGCTGCGCCAGTGGGTCAGGGGCGGCCCCCGCGCATTCGCCCCTCGCGACCAGGGGCCAACGGGCTCTGGGGTGGCGCTTGAAGGCGCCGTCCCCGCTCTGGAGGGGGTTCCGCGCCGCGCTCCTGGTGCGCCTCCAATGTCGGTCGTCGTCCGAGTCGCTGGGCTTTAATCCGCGGGGGCCGTCTCGGCGGCCGTCCTCCGCCGCCTGCGCCCCGCGCGAGGCTGGGCTGGGGGTCCCGCGGCCGCTTGCCGAAGGGGCTGGCTCGTGCCGCCTCGCCCCCAGGCGTGCTGGGGTGCGCTGCTCGTGGCCCTCGATGATCCCCCCCGGGCGTCATCGGCGCGCGCCCTGGCGGATGTGGTCGGCCGCCTCCCCGGGCGTCAAGTCCATTGCCGTCGCCGCCGCGCCGAGGGCCTGGCCCGCGTCGTCTTGGCCACCCAATGCCGTGGCCCATGGGGCGAGGGCGTCCATCCAGGCCGACCATGGCGCAGAGGGCGGCCTCTCCAAGCTGGGCTCGCGGCTCCGTGCCCAAACCCCGCCCTGGGCGTGGCGGCTTAACGAGCCCGCCCTGTCGGTCTTCCGCTGTCGTAGACGGGCTGGCGCGAGCCGGCCGCTCCCGCCCGCCGCGGGCCCGCCGCTGTCCACCAATCGCGCCTGCCCGTTGGGGCCTCGGGAGCTGGTTGAGCCACTCCGGGTCGTGGCGCCCGTCGCCGATGGGGAGGGTGTTGCGAGCGATCTTCCCCCCGGCGGGCATCGTGGCCCTCGCTCCGGCCGCCGTGAGTTCGTTGGTGGGCGTGGGGTCTAGTTGGGCAGCCCAGCGGTGGCCCCCGTGCAGATCCCCGCCATCGCGTGCCCGGTCAGCCCGCTCGTCCCCGCGGTGCTGCTGGTAAGAAGCACCCGTGTATCCGCTGCTGGCCCCGCGTCCCGCGGTCTCCCGCGCCTGGGTCAGCAGGCCAGGCCCGCTCTTGCCCGCCCGCCGCGGGGCTCGCTGCTTCGGCTGGGTGCGACGGCGCCTCCGTCTGCCAGGACGGACTTCTGTGGGCGGGCGGGTCCGCGAAGGCCACTCCGCCACCGTGCAGGCGTGGGCCGCCTAGTTGTGACAGGGGCGCCCCCGGGGCCGGCGCGGCGCCGCCCCCCCCCCGGGTGCGACCCCTTCGCGAGCCCGAGCCGCCCAGTCGCGCCCAGGCGCGGCGAGGCCCCCCTCCGCGTGCGGCGTCGGGGCCCGCCCCGGAAACCCGGGTCGGCCGGCGCGAGGGGTCGCGACCGCCCCCCTGGCCGAGCTGGAGCTGCATGTGCGCCCCTCGCGGGCGCCCCCCCCGCTGAATCGCCTGGCCGCGCGGCGGTAAGTAGCCGGACTGCATTTCCGGCCCGCCAAAGGAGACCGATGCATCTGCGCGTGGTGGGCGCGCAGGCGCGCGCGCGACGGCGCAGGTGGGGGGTCGGCGTCGGACGCGAGGGCGCCCTCGACGAGCAGCGCGGCGGGCTCGGCCAGCCCCTGGTCGCAGCGCCCCTGCGGTTGCGGGGGGCTGGCCCCCGTTGGTCGCCAGCTGATGCCTGCCGGCCGCTCCTCGTCGTGGGGCCCGCTCTCGGACTCGGAGGCCAGCGGCTGCGGCGGGCCGTCGGTCCCGTTGATCAAGGGCTCGGACCTCGAACGGCAACGGCGCCCTGGGCCCCGCGCAGGACCCGCCGCGGGCCTCCCCGGGCCTTTGGCCAACCGACTCGCGCAATGCGGGCGGGCGTCGCGCGGGCGTGCTCCGCAAGGTGGACGAGCTGGGCGTGGTCGATCGCGGCGCGCTGGTCGACGTGCATGGGATGAGCGCAGGAATGCCCGGGCGCGCGACGCAGGCGCGCCGTGCCCAGCGCCGTGAGGTCTTGCCGCCGCTGCTGGCTGTTGCTGCTAAGCGCCTTGTCCAATCGAAAATTCTGCCCGTGCTGATCCAGGCGGGGTTTGTTGGTGACGTCGCACTTCACGCGGGCCACAAACCCGTTCTTACGCAGTATGTGGTTGGGTTGCCGCCGACTGCCGCGGCCTCGCGCGCGCTTTTGGTAATGTGCCGCGTGCCGCCTCCGTCTCACCGCCGATCTCGGTCCCCGTCAACGGATGTGCGTGGGCAGCGGTGGGGGGGGTAGGTGTGCGACGGGCCCCGGAAGCGCTCGCGCGCAGCGCTGCCCGAAGTGGTGCTGGCCCAGCGGGGGCCTCGACTCACCCAAAGGGCCGGTACTGAGCCATTTCCAGAATCCACGGAGCTCCCAGGCCCAGCACATGTATTTCCAGTTGCCTGTATCTGCGCCTGAGGCGGGGAGGCCGCCCACAGCGGGGGGGGTCGCCTGGTGGCGGGGTCTGCCCCAGCCAGGCCCAGTCCAACGCCCAATCGGGGACTCACGCCTGCTAGCCCCTCAACCACTGCAGTCCCGCCCCATGGGCGGGGGCACGGCCGGGCCATGGCCGCTGCCGCACTTTACACCAGCTGGCCCGCCAGGAAGGGGAGCCGCCTCGCCTTGCGGTTTGGCGGCCGAAACCCAGCCCAACGTTCGCCCAAAAACAAGTGCCCCGCACATCATCCGCTGGATCTGGTGGCCTCGCGGGCGGCGTTGCCTCTGCGGGGTTGCGGGCCCCCAGCGGCCCAGCCCACGCAGGTAGCCAACTCTCCGCTTGGCTGGCCAGGCCTCGGGCGGCCCACATCATGCGCCTGGGGGCGCGCCTTGAAGCCTACTGGCGGCCCGCCGAACTACCCGACTCAAACCTCCCGAGGCTGCGTGGCCAAAATGGACGAGCCCGAAACAGCTCCCCCGCTTCCGCATACTACATACGACGGTGGTATTGCATGCGGTCCCCCTGCCCATGTGGGCACACCCCATCACACGTTTCGTGGCCCCATAGAAGTGTTCCGCCGAAGCACCCAGAGCGGGGGGTGGTCTTCCATGCGGTCCCCCCGCCCATGTCGGCCTCCCTCCCGGACGTTTCGTGGCTCCATTGGGAGCTACACCGAAGCTTCCAAGGTGTGGCATTGCATGCGGTCTCCACGCCAATTTCGGCATACCACTCACACGTTTCGTGGCACGATGGGGAGTCCCGCCGAAGCTCGATCGTTGGGGGTGGTATTGTACGCAGTCTCCCCAGCAATGTCGGCACACCCCTCACACGCTTCGTGGCCCCATGGGGAGCCCCACCAAAACTCAATCCTCGGCGGTGGTATTGTACGCGATCTCCCCGCCCATGTCGGCACACCCCTCTCACGTTTCGTGGCCCTGTAGGGAGCTCCACCGAATCCCCGAAAGGTGGCGTGGCATGCGGGCGCCCCACCCATGTCGGCACACCCCTCGGACGATGTGTGGCCCAGCAGGGCACTCCACCGAAGGCTTCAATGGCAGGGCCCGCATGCGCCTCCAGGCCCACGGCGGCACCCTTCACACGCTTCGCGGCACAATCGGGAACTCCACCGAAGGCTCCAGTGACAGGACCCACATGCCCCCCCAGGCCCATGTCAGCACACCCCTCACACGTTGTGTGGCCCCATAAGGAGTGTCATTGAAGGCGGCAAGCACAAGTGCGGCCGTCATAACTGCAGATGGTTGGGTCCATCGCCAGGATCATCAATTCTTTCTTCTTCTTCTGCTTATTTTTCTTCTTCTGCTTCTTCTAGACAGAAAGAGAGAGAGAGAGAGAGAGAGAGAGAACAAGAGAGAGAGAGAGAGACAGAGAGAGAAAGCGAGAGAGAGAGAGAGAGAGAGAAACAGAGGGGGAAGAGGAGGACGACGAGAAGCTTTCCCGCCTCGACGTCCTTCTGAGCCCGCGCGTCCCGCACCTGCCGCCGTGCGCAGGCGCCGCGGTGGTGGCGCTGGATGCACACTGCTGCCTCCGCCTGCGGATGCTGACGATGACGACGACGATGATTATGATGACGATGATGATGCTGCTGCTGATGATGAGGATGATGATGATGATGGTGGTGGTGAGGGTGATGAGGACGCGTACTATGATGATGCTGCTAATGATGTGGTGATGATGGTGATGATCATGATGATGATGCTGGTGGTGGTGATGATGACAATGACTACGACGACGATGATGAAGATGATGATGGTGCTCATTGGGCATGGTAACGACGATGATGACGATGGCGATGATGATAATGATGATAACGATGATGTGGATGATGAGGATGATGATGAGGAGCGGAGCACGTTCCTTGGTCTGACGGATCGGGGAGAGGAGGAAGAGGGGCATGTGGAGGGGGGATGCAGAGGGGTGTGTGAAAGATGGGAGTTGGGACGGGAAGCGGAGGAGGAGAGAGATGATCTGATTCTACTCTATTATGTTATACTCCAGCTAACGAACACCATCGATGTAAGAACGATGAGAATCAGACTGGGATTATGATGGTGTGATGATGGTGGTTGTGGTGGTGGTGATGATGGTCATGATGATGATGATGATGATGATGATGATGATGATGATGATGCTGGTGACGATGATGTTGTTCATGATGCTGATGGTAATGGTGATTGTAGTGTTGATAATGATGCGGATGCTGATTGTACATATGAGGCCAATGATGGCGATGCTGATGATGATGATGATGATTATGATGATGATGCTGCTGCTGCTGATGATGATGATGATGATGATGATGATGATGCGGTTTCGGATGACGTTGGTAGGTGTTACGATGACGACGGGGATGATGATGTTGATTATGAGGTGATGATGCTGATGGCTGGTGCTGATGCTGCTGGTGGTAATGACGATGAAGATGATGATCATCATGGTGGTGGGAAAAGGAGATCCTCCGCAACCCGCTGCGCCCGCTCGGCCCGCAGCTGTCGCCGTGCGGAAGCTCCGCGATGGTGGCGCTGGATGTTCACGGCCGCCTCCGCGGCGCGGAGGGAAAGATACGGACAGAAGTCCGGGCCTACTTGAGGCCAGGTGGGTCAGGCCGTGGCCTCGAGCAATGGTTAACCAGGTAGCGGCAACAAAGTTGCAGGAGAAGTCAGGTCACGTCAGCCTGTAGGAGGAAAAGGAGGAGGGAGGGCTCTCCAGCTCAGGGTGTCGACGTCGGCGGGCAAGAGGGGGACGATGACGTAGCAGAGGGAGGGCGAGGAAGGACGGCCCCCAGATCCGGGCGACGGAGAAATTCGCGGCGGCAACTTTGTCGTTGTGTTCTGCCTCTGGAGGTCTTTACCTGGTCTCTAGACCGTCAAAAAGCTACTCAACATGAACATCAGACACTGGGGAAGTGGTCGAAGCACCAGGGGCCGACGTTACGAACAAATGGCAACGTCGGATGTGAGGGGAGGAGGAGGAGAAGGAGGATGAGGAGGTGGATCAGGAGGAGCAGGAGGACGAGGAGGAGGAGGAGGAGGACGAGGAGGAGGACGAGGAGGAGGAGGAAGAGGAGGAAGAGAAGGAGGAGGGTCCGTAGCCATTTTGGCTGCAGGCGCGCCGTTGCCGACTCGGGGGCGTGGGCCCCCCCCCGCCCAGCCCGCAGCACAGGGGCAAGGGGTCACGCAGCGGGCGACAGGCTGGGCGCGCCAACCTCCACAGGGGAAGGGACGCCGCGACACGCAGAGCCATAGCTGGGCACCAGAAGAAGGTCGGGGGGAACGAGAGGGGGGGATAGCAAAGGGCAAGGTAGAGAATCAGGTCACGTAGCTGACTTTCCCAGCGCCTCCCGGCGCCGGGAGGCGCCCATGCATCGAGGAATGGGCCCGGCGGCGGGGCCGAAACCAGCTGCATGCAGCAGACTTCGTAACCCCCCCTTTCCCTATCCCCCCCGTTTGTTCGGTCCGAGAATAACGTCGAGACTGACCTCCATGAGAAGGTTCCCGGCAACCTGCCGAGACGCCTCCGAGCGAGCTTTGCTCGTATGGGATACGCAGCCAGGGGGGGGGCACTTGCATCCGGGCGCGCGATGTTGCCAGAAGAGCAGTCGCCGCTCAGGCCAGATGCTGCCGCAACAGCCAGCCCGTGCAGACAACATACAGTGTCGTTCAGGCCCTCACCGCTGCATCACCGGCCACGGCCTCGACGACGCCCATGGTAACGACGATCTCGGCTTCCTTCGCCTCCCATCGTTCATCCCCGCGGCCGCCATCGGCAACGTCGAGGACCAACAGGAGCATCACGCCGAGGACCAGCAGGAGGACTCTTACAGCGTGCGCACATCCCCTTCTCCCCTCGAGCGCCTTGCCGTGGTCGGCCACCCGCGGCATCCTTCCCGGGCCAGGTGCTCGGGCCGATCGCGCAGGCCCGCCCTGGGCTTCGGCCAGCGAAGAGGTCGGCGGCGAGCCCAGGGGGGAAGTGAGATGGGGCGGGCCTTCCCAGACGGCTCGAAACACACATGTGACAGGTCTTCTCTTGCAGGCGTCCTGCACATCGGCACGCTGTCGCGCAGCAGTAGCGCTCGACCCGCAACACCCTTCCTCCCCCCCCTCTATCACGCCTTCGCCCTCTCTCCTCCTTCCACCTCCACTCTGGCGACAGACCGAGGCCACGGGCCCGCGGGGAGCCTGGCGCCAATTAGCCCGATCCATGCCCTTCTCTTCTCGCTGGCTGTCTTACTTCTGGGATGTTGCTGTAATGAAGCAGCCGCATCACCAGTGTATCCCCATAGACAAGAAGACTCGTGGGCCGAGCGCTGAAGGCGCCTCTCGTCCAGGCATATATAACACCCTAGGGACCCGTACACGATGAGCGATTTCAGCCTATAATGTGGTAGCGCAGACAGACATTGCCTCATCCAGGGAGCCTCACCCGCCTAGCGCCACAATCGGCGGCAAGCCACGACCCCCTTTTACAGCCCAGTGCAGTGAGGGGCGCGAAGACAACGTTCGGTCCCGTTCATTTCCACCCAGAGCGAAGACCCCCGCGCTGTCGGTAGCATCGCAACCTGCTGCCGACTGACTGGGCTCATCCAGCGGACTCTCACCCGCCAAGCGCCCACAATCGGCTGCCAGTCGCGAATCCTATCTACAACCCAGTGTATACACACACTCTGGAAGACGCGTGGGCGTCGACCAGTGACCCAATCGGCTCCGCGGTCGACCCCCTCTGCAGCACTGTCCTCCAATCGACACGGTGCCAACCGGGGGACTGTGATCATGAGGGGTCGGGATGGATGGGATGGACGGACCACAGCAGCCGCAGCAGATTCACTATCGAGGCCCCACTCTCCCGGGAATCCCCCCCAGTAACCCCCTCTGAGGTGCGCCACCATTGTAGGGACCTCACGATCGGATTCAGTATCCCTTGCGGGAAAACTGCCCGCCACTTCTGGGGGGCGGCGCTTCGGGGGGCTTCCTGGTTTGTCGGGACTTCCCCCTCCCTCTTCCTCTCCTCCTCGTCGTGCCTGCTGCCCTTCTAGTCCTCCTCGCCTTCCCTGCTCCTCCTCCTCCTCCTCCTCCTCCTCCTCCTCCTCCTCCTCCTCCTCTGCTGTTTGGCCTCTTCGGTCGTCCCCTTCCGTCGTGCTCTCCTCCCTTGGGGTAGCCCCCCCCCCTTTCGGCTAGAGGAGCCTATTTTCAAAACCGCCTCCCGCGAGGGTGGCAGGGAACGGCTACGTTCTGCGAACATTGCTGCCTTCAGGAATCGGGAGGATGAGGAGGATGAGGAGGATAAGGAGGATGAGGATGAGGATGGGGATAATGATGAGGATGAGGATGACGGTGAGAATGAGGATGAGGATGAGGATGAAGAGGAGGAGGAGGAGGAGGTGGAGGAGGAGGAGGAGGAGAAGGGGAGAAAAGGAAGAGGAGGAGAAGGAGGAGGACGAGGGGGAAGACCAGGGGAGACAGGAGGAGGGGGAAGGCTAGGGAAGACGAGGGGGAAGAAGGGGCAGGCGAGGGAGGACGATACGAGACAAGGCAAGACACGACAAGGCAATCGCCTCGGACCTCCCAATGTCCAGTCGAGATGCGACCGATGAGCTCAGCGCGCTGCTTCGGCAGCTGGGCCCTGCTCGAGATCGCAGGTGGCCTGCTGGGCACCGCGGCCCTGGGGCAGGCCGGCCCCGCTGCCTTCGCGCGCAGCCTGATGGGGGGTGCTCCTCGCGAGGTGGCCACACGAGGGCCGCCCGCCCAGGTCGTGTACGCCCTGACGGCGACGACGACGACGACGACGACGACGACGACCACTCGGCCGCGTCTGGCGCCAGGTCCTCGCCGTCCGCGCCGCCGGCAGCGGAGTCAGCCAGCCCAGGCCCGTCTTCGGCGGACGGAGTCACACCGTGCGCAACCGAGGCCACCTCGCAAGGAGGGCCCACACGCGCGCACTGCCCTTCTCCTCTGCCCTTGCCGCCCCGCGCGCCCCTCTCGGGCCAGGGCGCGGAAGCTCCGGGCAGCTTGGGAGCGGAAGCGAAACCTCATCCGTTCTCCCACCTCCCTCCTCCCTCCTGGTTCCTCCTCCTCCTCCTCCTCCGTCCTCCTCCTCCGTCCTCCGTCCTCCTCCTCCTCCTCCTCCTTCGTCCTCCTCCTGCGTCCTCCTCCTCCTCCCTCCTCCTCCTCCGTCCTCCTCCTCCTCCTCCTCCGTCCTCCTCCTCCTCCCCCCGCCGAGGAGACAGGGCGGCCTGCGACTCCCTCGCGGCCTTCGCCGCGGCCGCCTCCACAAAGGCTTTGTCCTCGTGGGGGGGGGGAGCTGCGCAGCGCACACCCAGAGAGCTCGGGGCCCCAGAGGCAGACCTCCCCACCGTCCGGGGGTCGAGGGTCCGGGATCGACGATCGACGATCTTCGAGGTTGAAGGATCGAGGATCGAGGTTCGAGGGCCGAGGATCCAGGGTTCAGGCTCGCGAGGGGCAGGCGAGGAGCGATGGGCGAGGATCTGGGATCCAGCTTCTTTGCCAACCGTGCGCTCAGCACTCAGCTCAAGCACGCAAGGACAGGGATACGGGGCCCTTGAAAGGTCCACGCAATGCCTGCGGCGTTATGAGAACACATGATACGGCTGGGACGAAGAGTCAAAGATGCAGGGGTGCCCTTCAAGATTCCCCATCCTTCAGTGCGCCGGCCCCCCTCGTGGCGCCAGGCTGCAAGTGCTGCCGCTGGGCTGCTGCCTTGTGTTCTTGGGCTGACATGCTTCAGGTGATTGAAGCAGCAGGGCAAGCACTCGTTTGCAAGTTGCACGTTAGCCAGGGCTGACGGAAGCAACCATGGAAACCATCTATGATGCCGCATTGTCGTCTCAATCACCTCATTGTGCCGCGCACTGCTTGCAATCGGAGCGAACTCAATGTTCTGGCCATGGGTGCCAAAACCGCAGGCCCTTTCGGCGTTTGTGGAACGCTGTTCTGTTTGAGTCGTCGTCGCCGTCGCCGCCACCTTGTTCCCTGCCCTTCTCAAGCGATCCAACCAGACGGACATCAAGCAACGTTGTACTTCATTCGAAGGAAAGCCCCTTCCCAGGGGGAACTCAGGACCCCTCCTACGCCTCCCCCTGTGGACAAGGGGACCGCCATCCCCCTCCTCCCAAACTCCCCCCCAGAGACACCCTCCTCACTCTTCTCTGCTGTTGCGGGGTACCGCGTTTTTTCGAGGGCGCGCCGCTGGATGTCCCCAAGGGGGGGGGGGTTGGACCCCCCCCCCTTCCCCGATCCGTCGTCGGGGACCCACCCCTCCCCGTCCCCCCCTTTCCCGATCCGTCGTCGGAGGACCCCCTCCCCCTCCCTCCCTTTCCCGGTCCTTCGTCGGAGACCCCCCTTTCAACAGGGGGGGAGGGGGTTCCGACCCCTCCCCCCCTCCCCCCCTTTGGCCGCCAAATTCGACCCCCCCCTCCCCTCCCCCCTTTCGCCACGGCGCCCCCTGTCTCCGGAACCAGACCCCGACCACCACTAACACTAATCCACACCCTTACCCTAACCCCCAACCTTAACCCCAAACCCAAACCGTAGCCCCAAACAGCATTCACAACTCATTACGCACCACTCACTACCCACAATTCAGTACTCGCTACTCACTACTCACTTCTCACTACTCACTACTCACTACTCACGACTCAATACTCACTACCCACGACTCACTACCCACTACCCACTACTCCCTACTCCCTACTCCCTACACGCTACTCACTACTTACTACAAACTACTCACAACTCACTAATCATTACTGAATACTCACTACTCACTAAACACAACTCACGACCCGCTACTCACTAATCACAAATCACTACTCATTACCCACTACCCACTATCCACTACTCAGTACTCACACTTCACTACTCACTACTCACTGCCCACAACTCACTACTCACTATCCACTACTCGCTACTCGCTACTCCCTACTTCCTACACAGTACTCACTACTCACTACTCGCTACTCCGAACGCCCTACTCGCTACCCAATACGCACTATTCACTACCCACTACTCACTATTCACTACGCTCCCACTACTCACTACTCACTACTTCCTACTCCCTACTCACTACTCACTACGCACTACTCACTACTCACTACCCAGTACTCACTACTCACTAAACACTACTCACTGCCCACTATTCAGTACTCGCTAAGCACTACTCAGTACCCACTAACCACTATCCACTACTTACAACTGAGTACTCACAGTTCACTACTCACTACGCATTGCCGACAAGTCACTACTCACTATCCACTACTCGCTACCCAATCCACCGCCCACTACTCACTAATCGCTACTCACTACTTCCTACTCACTAGTCACTAGTCGCAAGTCGCTACTCACTACTCGCTACTCACTCCTCACACTCACGAATCACTACTCACTACCCACTAATTTCTATTCGCAGCTCCCTACTCACAACCCACTACTCAATACCCACTTCTCGCTTCTCGCTTCTTACTACTCACTACTCCCTACTCACTACTCAGTAACCCACTACTCACTACTCATTATTCGCTACTCCCTACTCGCTACGCACTACTCCCTACTCCCTACTCACTACAGACTCCTGCCTGCTCCCTCCTCACTACCCCCTGCCCGCAAGGCCCTACTCGCTACTCGCTACTTACTACTCGCTACTCCCTACTCGCTACTCCCTACTCGCTGCTCGCTACTCGCTACTCACCACTCACTACTCTCTACTCACTGCGCACTACTCACTCCTCACTACTCGCTCCTCGCTATTCGCTACTGTCTACTCCCTCATCCCTACTCCCTGCTTACTATTCACTATGCACGAGTCACTGCACAGTACTCACTCCTCACTACTCATGACTCCTTACTCTCTACTTCCTTCCCACTACTCACTACCCACGACCCACTACTCACTAATCTCTACGCACTACTCACTACTACCACTACCCATTACCCATTACTCACTACTCACTGCGCACTACTCACTATCAAATACCCATCACTCACCCATCGCTACTCAAAACACTCTACTCTCTACTCACTACCCGAGAAGCCCCCTCCCCAGCCCCCTGTTCGGCGCAAAGGGGGGGAGCGGACCCCCCCCCCTCTTTTCCAGTGCCAAAGGGGGGAGGGGAGGGCGGTCCGGACCCCCCCCCCTTCAAGGGGGGGAGGGGCGGGGGGAGGGGTTCGGAACCCCACCCCCCCCAAAGGGGGAGAGGGGGTGGTTGGGTTCGAAAATCTCACCCCCACTTTGAAGGGGGGGTGGGGGGGGTGTTCTGCGACCACGCCCCTCCTTTTGTGTATTCAGGGCTATCCACTGGCGCGCTTTCCGTTTTTTCCTACATGCCTGCCTCTAAGAGGCCTCAGATCTGCTTCGAAACGGCTCCGCATGGCCACGGAGATTCCCGCGATTTGAGAGAGCGCGTTTCACGGGCGCTTGGCTTGGGAGCATTCGGCGGCGCGTTTCAAACCGGGGGGTGCCCCCCCCCAACCGTCGATCAGAACCAGGGAGACTCCCCTCTCCACTGACCCCCCCCCCTCCTGAACCCCCCCCTCCCAAGGGGGGGAGGTCCAAACCTCCCCGCCCCCCCCCTCCCCCCTCCACCCCCCCCGGCGCCGGCGCCGACGCCCGCGCTGGCGGCCGCCAGCCGCGCCGACGGCGGGGACGCAGCGACACGATGACCAGAGAGGGCTCAGGGAGAGGGGGGGCGAAATTCCCCCCCCCCCCCCCCGCGCCAGATGCTGGCGCCGGCGCTGGCGGCGGCCAGCAGCGCCGACGGCGGGGACGTAGCGACGATTACCAGAGAGAACCCACACGCCGCAGAGGGAACACGCAAATCGCCATATCGAGCCCTTGCCCCCCAGAAGCTGCCGAGAGGCCCGCAAGGAGGTCCACGAGGCTTCACGCGGGCTCCTCAGACGCCCCCCAGACCCTTCTGACGAGATCTCAAAACGCATCATCCATTAGAACTCTGTCCCAAAGCCAAAAAACGGTGGCGGGAAGAGCCGAAGGCCAAACCACCACCACCACCACCACAGACCACCACAACCACCACCGCCACCACCAGCACCATCACAACCACCACCACAACCACCACCACAACCCACCTCAACCACAACCACCACCACCACCGCAAACCACAACACCACCCCCACCAAAAACGCCACCACCACCAGCACCACCACTAGCACCACCACAACCCACCACAACCACCACATCCACCATCCCTCCACAAACCACCACACCAGTACCACCACCATCACCACCGCCAAAACCACAACCATCAACACAACCCACCACCAGTACCACCACAAACCACCACCACCACCACAACCCACCACCACCACCAGCTACCACCCACCACCAGCGCCGCTACCAGCAGCACCACCACCACCAACACCACAGCCCACCACCACCACCACAAACCACCACGCCACCACCACCACCGCCACAACCCACCACCACCACCACACCACACAGCCACCACCACCACCACCACCACAACCACAGCCACCACCACCACCACCACCACAACAAACCACCACCACCACCATCACCACCACAACAACCCACAACCACTACCACCATAATCACCACCACCACCAAAATCTACCACACCACCACCACCACTACTACCACCACCACCACTACCAGCAGTACAACCCACCAACACCACCACAAACCACCAAACCACCACCACCACCGCCACCACCACCACCACCGCCACAACCACAACCATCACCACAACCCACCACCACCACCACAAACCACCACCACACCAGCACCAAACCACCATCACCACCACCGCCACCCACCACCACAACCACCACAACCACCACAACAAACCACCACACCACCACGACAACCACCACCACCGCCACCACCACCACAACCCACCACCACCACCACCACAAACCACCACACCACCACCACCACCACCAACAACAACCACCAACCACCACCACAGCAACCACCACCACAACAAACCACCACCACCACAACCCCCATCACCGCCACCACCACCACCACCACAACCCACCCCCACCACCACAACCACTACCACCACCACAACCATCACGACAAACCAACACACCACCACCGCCACCACCACCACCACCACCTTAACCCACCACCACCACCACTACAACTACCACTACCACTACCAGAAAGCACCGCACCACCATCAGCACCACAACCTGCCACCACAACCACCACAACAAACACCACCACCACCACTGCATCATCACCACCACCGCCACAAACACCACCACCACCATCACCACCACCACCACCACCACCACCACCACCACCACCACCACCACCACCACCACCACCACAGCGCACCACCACCACCACCACCTCAGAGAGTCCGAGAGACGCCCAAGAGGCGCCCAGGAGTGTGCACAAATGTCCTTCAGGGGCCCCCGAGAGCTCTCCGACGAGACTCCAAGAGGCATCCATTAGGACTCTGACCCAAAACCAAGGTACGGTGTCGGAGCGTCGTCATCGTCGTCATCGTCGTCGTCGTCGTCCTCGTCGACGCTCCCCGCCGCCGCCGCCCGCCGCCGCTGGCGCTGGCCCAGAAAAGGAAGCCGTCGTCCCCGCCGCCGCCGCCAGCCGCCGCCGACGCAGGCGCCGGCCCGAGGAGAGGGAGAGAGGAGAAGTAGGGGAGGAGGGGGAGGGGAGGGGTGGGGGGGGGGTTCGAAACCCCCCTCCCCCCCTTCGTCACGGGAGGAGGAGGGGGGGGTCGAAACTCCCATTTTTTGTTTTGTTTGTGTTTGTTTTCTCCATTCTACTGTCCACTGGGGCGCCCAGCCTCACTCAAAAGGGGGGCGAATTGCCCCTAGAATTCTTGGCCGCGCTAGGTTGCACCAGGATTCCCTCTGGACGCCACCGCATGGCCAGGAGGGCCCAAATGTTTCGGCCTTCAAGACGGCTCCGAAGAGGACTTCGAGAGCCCAAGATGGACTCCGATGTGCCTCCAAGATGGTCCAGGAGGGTTCCAAGAGGCCCCGCGAGAGGGTAAGACACGTGGACCATTGTGTGTCTGCTGGGCTTGCCCTATGTGTTGCCCCTGAGGTGGGCCCGACAAGCATCAACATCGCGCCAAATCGCCCAGGATGGCCCAGCAAAGCTCCCTAAGACGCCCTAATCAAGATGGCCCGAGATGGCAGGTGGCTCAACCCGCGAGAGGCCCAGTGATGTCCCCCGAACTGTTGCGATACATCCAGAGGCTTATCATCGCTCGGACGTCCATTCCTATGTTTTTTTTTTTGCGGTTTCGTGCGTGGTTTTTTGGGGCCAGATGATTCAGGATGCTCCTCGATGGTCCTCGCAGATAAAACATGCACACGTCCGAGAGATGCCAAGGAAGCTGGCCCTGCCTCGGGGGTTGGCGGCTGAGGGCGTAACCCAACAGACGAACGTTCGACCGTGTTCCTCACGGGCCGCCCAAGGCTCTCGGGGAAAGCCTGAAGCTTCCGAGCACGATCGAGGCCGCCAGAAAGTTGCCGAACGCCTCCGAAAGCTCCCGACAATGTTCAAGAGCCTCCTCCTCCTCCTCCTCCCTCCTCCCTTCACCCTTGCCTTCACCCCTCCTCCTCCTCCTCCTCGTCGTCCTCCTCCTCCTTCTCCCGTCGCCCTCCTCCTCCTCCTCATCCTACTCATCCTCCTTTCACCAGGAAGCAGGGCGGCCGCGTCCTTGCCCTTGCGGAAGTAGTTGACGAACTCCTCGTAGCTGACGCGCGACTTGCCACCTCTTTTTCTTCTTCTTCTTTTCCCTCCTGCTGCTGCTGCTGCTCCTCCTCCTCCTCCTATTCCTCCTATTCCTCCTCCTCCTCCTCCTCCCTGCTCCCTTGCCCTCATCCCTCCTGCTCCTTCCCCTCCCTCCCTTCCTCACTCCCTCCTCCTCCTCCTCTCCTCCTCCTTCTCCCGTCGCCCTCCTCCCTTCTTTTCCTCCCTCCTACTTCTCCTCCCTCGCTCCCTCCCTCCCCCACCACCTCCTTCGGTTGCTTAGGACTCACTTCTATAAACATCATCCCTCCTCCTCCTCCTCCTCCTCCTCCTCCTCCTCCTCCTCATCATCATCATCATCATCACCCTGCTCCTTCTCACCATCCGCATTCCTGCGCCCTCACCCTGCACCCCATCTTCTTCTCCTCCTCCCTCCTTCGTCCTCCTCCCTCCTCACCCCCCCTCGTCTGTTTCCAACTCCTCCTATCCCTTCTTCCCCCTTCCTCCTCCCCTCCACCTTCTTCTTCTCCTCCTTATTCCTTCCTCTCCCTGCTTCTCCTCCTCCTCCTCCTGCTGGTCCTCCTCTTCCGTTCTCTCTCCTGTCGCTCCTACTTCTTCTTCTCCTCCTGCTCCCTCCTTGCACAAAGAAACAATGGCCAACTCCAGTCACACAATTTTCAATCGTACACGTAGGCGAGCGTGTATGTGCACCCGGAATTGCATACGTACATCTATGCATGTATATACGTTATGTACACACGTCTATCATACATGTTATCCAGCGCGAACCCCAAACACTGGTTTCTTGCAAACTATGCGACGGTGTCTGCATGATGCAATCGACGTGGTGCAATCTAGGTGGCGCAATCCATGTGGTGCAATCAGTGTGATGTAGTAAATGCAATGCAAGGCAAGGCAACGCAAAGCAAGGCAAAGCTAGGCAAAGCAAAGCAAAGCAAAGCAAAGCAGAGCGCAACACAACGCAACGCCACGACAAGCAGCGCAGCGCAGTGCAAACCAATGCGCTGCAATGTGAAGCAACTCGAAGCAGTGCAGTAGGATGCGAAGCAATGCGGCACGATTGCCATGCAATTCGATTGAGAATCAACTGCAAGGCAATGCGACTGCAATGCAACCGGGTGGGGTACAACGGGCGACGGGCGGGAACGGGGCCGAAGACGGGCCTCCTGCCGAGAAGCATGCCGCGGCGACGGACGGCACCCGGGGCCGCCAACGGGCCGCCACCGGGCCCGGTTCCTGAGAAGTGGGGCAAGAGCCCGTGGGAAAAACACGCACACTGTGGGAAAACACACACACACAAACAACACAAACAAACACACACAAACACACAACAACACAAAACACACACACACAAAACACAAGTGCAAGCACTGTCTTGAGAATGTGTAGGAGTGCTCGCAGGGCAGGGATGCAGCAGGGCAACAATCTGTTCGTACTGCCTGCTGAGCGCACCCTGCCAACCGAAGCTTTAATGCTATCGAAGCTCTGCCGATATTGGCGCCAGAACAATGAGGGAAATGCTGCGACAGGTCGTGGTGCCAAGCGGGCTCCTTTCAAACATCCTTGCCCCTCCGCTAATGAGGCTGAGATGGTGGATAGGTGCCAGCCAGGGCCGACAGACAAATAGGGCGCAGCTTGTCGGTGGTTCTGAACTCTGTGGGGATCGCACACGCTCAAAAGAAGTGCATAAATCTGCACAAACATGCACAAGCCATGCCTGCTTGAACCTAGCCATCATGGTTACTACACTCTGCAGCGGAATCAGGCAGAGCTTGACTCTATGAGATGAATCCAATGGCGGTATGGGTCATCTCGGCGTAGTGCTGCCTGATTTATTGCTTCGATTGCGGCATCGGCTACCGCTTCCAGTCACCCTCCCGCGCGGTACTTTCCACTCGTTTCGCGTGATCAACTTAAACATTTGAGAAGTCGGATGGTCGCCCAGAAACGGACCTATGCGAAAGACGCACCGGACAAGGCAAATTACGGTTAGGAGCTTTTGCATAGCGTGTCGCGGCGGCGGCTCGGCGACACGCTATGCCCTCCGAGCAAGTAGCGCGTCGCTCCAGCGGGGCAAGAGGCTGGGAAAAGGCTCGGGACGTTGACGCCATGGGACTGAGAAGTGGATGGCGTGTCGCGTCCAAGGGTGGTGGGCTAGATGCAACGGAACGACATGCTACCTAAGCGAATTTCCCGACCGTCTACACTTGATATCAGTGTGGACGCTTTGTGCAGTAGCCCACGCTTTGCCCAAATTCCCTCCTCTTCCCCCTCCTGCCCTTCCTCTTCTCTCCTCCCCCCCGCCGCCCGACATAGCGTCGAAGGTCTCGTTCGCGGCGTCGAAGCTATCCTCGCTGGTGAGAAGCGAGCTGGGGTCGACGTCTGGGAGAACTGTGGCGGCCACTTCGGTGTCCTGTCAGGGCCGAGGCGCCCACGTGGTGAGACTATGTTAGCCGATCCTGCCCCCCGTCCCCCTCCTCCTCCGCCTCCCCCTCCGCCTCCGCCTCCGGAGTCCGCCTCCTCCTCCTCCACCTCCACCTCCACCTCCTCCTCCTCCTCCTCCTCCTCCTCCTCCTCCTCCTCCTCCTCCTCAAGGTTCAAGGTTCAGGACCGCGGACAGATTCGCGTCGATGCGCCGATGCCGTCGGACCCTTCTCGCGCCGTCAGCGGGGGGGGGGGGGGGAGGCAGCACAAACCAAAAGGTAGAGGAGAGGGATGAGAAGGAAGACCGTGAATCAAGTGGCGATAGCGGCCATGCGCCTGGGAGGGGGGGCGGGGAGGGACGAGGCCGCGGGCGCCCGTGCGCGCTGGTGGCAGGGCGGTGCTCGTGCGAGTGTGACCCGAGCGTGGGCCCCGCCCTCCCCCGGGGGGGCAGGAGGGGCCCACCCCGGCGCGCCTCTCCGGGAGCGAGGCCCCGCGCCGGGGTCCGGGGGGGAGGGCGGGAGGGGGCGCGCAGGCGGTCCCAGGCGCGTGCGACGCGGCGGCGCGCAGCAGAAGGAGGGCGGCACGGGGGCGGGGGGGGGGGGAGGGGAGGTGGAGAGGGCGTGGGCGCCGAGCGAAGGAGGAGCCGCAGGGTGCGCGGCGGTCCTGCGAGGAGGGCGAGCGCGAGGGTCGGGAAAAAGTGGGGGGGCAAGGAGGGGAGGTGGCCCGAGCGGGACCACCACCCCCCCAGGTGGGGTGGTGGTGGCCCCCTCGGTGTGTCTCTTATTGCTAAAAAAGGCTGTGCTGCGTGTGTTTGGTGTCTCTGGGAAGCTGTACCTTCCCCGGAGCCTTTGCCGCGCAGGCATTTTGGTTGTTACCTCCCGCCCAGCGTGATCCCATCCCGTCCCCGGTTCCCAGCAGCAGTGGTGGGGCGAGGTGGAGGAGTTTACCGGGCGAAAGCGGGGGGAGACGGGGCTGCGGGGAGACAAGAGAAGAGGAGGGTGTATGTTAGCTGGGGCTTGAGGTCCCTCAGAGGAGGTAGTGGCGAAGGTGGAAGTAGTAGGCAAGGTCACTGGAGTAGTCGAGGCGCCTAGAGTTCGGGGAGCGCCAGAGGTGGATGTAGGCGTAGCGCGGAGGCGGTGACGACCAGGCTCATGGAGTACAAGGCATTGCAGAAACAGAAGTAGGCGTAAGGTGGGTGGTGTGAGAGCTCCGCTGGTGTCACTCGGGGTGGCGGTGCTGAGAGTCGGTGCTGCTGTGCCCCGCCGCGTTAGCT